AACCATGTAAATGGTACATGAGGTACAAAACATATAAAACATATATACATATAATACAGTGGGTCAAGCAGAAGGTGATAATTAAGGAGAACAGACAATACTATTAATTTTAGAAATAAATGTACATAATTGTTTCAAAGAATCAACATCATTTTGGCACGTGATTTCACAAAACTTGATGACATTTGGATAAGAACAAAATTTTTGGTTCAAATGAACTTTTCTTACATGTAGTTGGTTTAAAGCACTACATTCTAAAATATAATGACATAGGTGTTTTCTTGCATTACATAATGAGCCTGTACGAGAAAATACAATCCCTAAATAATTAAAATCCTTGACTACTTCTATGATACTGCCATTATATGTAAACGTATTCTTTCGCTGTCTACCCTTTGAAAAAAATAAGTATCTTTGTTTTCTTGATATTCACACAGAATTTCATTCTTCACAATATTTGTAAAATTCATTTACCGGGAATGCTCTCTGAAGATCTTCAGCAATTTCGGCAAGAATTACAGTATCATCGGCATAAAATAATGTTGCAGCATTCTCTGCATTTGAAATATCGTTACCGGTTGAGGGAACTGAAGCAAGCGACATGTGTAATGTCGCAGCATTCTCTGCATTTGAAGTTTCGCCACCGGTTGAGGGAACTGATGCACAATTTTCTGCAATGTAAACACCTGATTTCATATTTGACAGTTTTGTAAAGGAAAAAAATAAAGTATACACGAGTGAGAGTGGGAGAGTCTTCCGATTTCTTTTTAATTTTGTTTAATAGACACATTTTTTAAAGTTTTGTTTAATAGACACATTTTTATCGTATATATTAGACAAAGATTACGATGTGAGACGACCAAGTTAATTTAAATGAAGTTCTGAAGTTCCGAAATAAAAAAAAAAAGATTTTGACGCGTAACTTATATTTTTGAATAAAGTTCTTTAATTTGGATTTCTTATATATCTATTTTGGAGAAATATTTTTCTGGTTACAAGTAATGCAGATACCGAATTTCTAACGACATTTTATCACTTTTAACACATAATTACGAAACTTTGAAATATACTTCATAACTAACTCATGTGCAATAAATTTCACAGCAGCAAAATTTTAGGAATCTTCAAAAGGTCGTATAATAAGGTTGTAAATTTAGATGATCAGGGGGTGCAATGCATGTAATAATAAAATGACCTCTAATAGCTATAATCATTACTTAGGCTAGGAAATTGCAATTAGTAAAAAAAAAATAACATCTGGCATCTAAATGATGGGGGGGGGTGTTAATTAAAATATTACTAATGTCAATGCATGCTTAAACGAAAAAAAAAAATTACTTTTATCGCAAACAATCCTAATATCTTATTCGGTTGATTACTTGTATAACATTTTAACCGATTGTCAAAATATAATTAAAAAAAATCATTCATGATTTTAACGTGTCACTCCTGTGCAATTTTTTTTATCTGTATCACTGTGCATAATTGATCCTTTTTACAATACTTCTTTTGGACTTTTATTTTGAACTTTGATATGTTTCATCTGTTATTCTCATTGAACTTATTATTGAAACACCAAATTTATACTTATCCCTCTTTCCCGATCATCGACATATAGTATTTTGACCCAAATTACGTGGTCACATCTACACATATAATTATATAACATCCCCTACCCCGCAAAAAATGTAAAATGCATATTTAGTGTATGTTTTTTTTTCAGTTCATTTGCTGATTTTTTGCATGCAATGTAGAAACACCATGTATGAAACATTTTTGGGGTTAATTTTTTATTTTGAGTCCTGGTTGCCATGGTAACCAAAACCACCATTTTGAGGCCAAAAATACAGTGCAAGCTACTGAAAGTATACCATATTCATCATTGTTTTTCTATTTTCTGCATATTATTTACAGATTTAATTGTTGCCTACTCTGATAGACTATTTGTTGGAGTAGCTACCACAACTGATGAAATTATTCAGTAGTTGGCCATAAAAGAGTTGTCTTTCAGTGAAAAGGGTTAATTTTTCAAATTTTAACAAATTTGAAAAAGTGCCAATTTTTGGCATATTCTAAGCATAGTAGCAAGAAAACGCGGGCAATCCATAACAAACAACTACCATCACTGAAAAGGTCATTCCTTACTTAACAAAATATAAAATTTCTAGAGAGGTATTATTTCTTAAAATAAAATAAAACGAAAATGAAAATGGTTGCTATGGAGATTTTATAAATTTGTAGATTCAACACTTGGTTCCTTTTTTATACATTATAACCCTAAAAAATCAAAAGTAAAACAAATCACATTAATAAACCTTGTCATTTTAATATATTATGATATAAAATGCAAATTTATAAATTAAAGAAAAGTACTGGGTTACTATAGCAACCGAAGAAGTCAGGAAAAATCAATATAATTATTGACGTTATCATTACGCAGTATACGTGGCCTCAGTGTAAACTATGATTTAATTTTTTCAATTAAATAGAAAACACTCTTTATATTTATCATTTCATTTATGTACATTTTAAAAAATAAAATAAAAATGTCTAAAATCACGTTGCTATGGTCACTGAATAGGTTTTGAACAATTCCTTCAAGTGGCTGCTATCACAATTTTTGTGATACTTACAAAGTATACAGCAAATAATGTAATTGCTTCATTCGTGATTATTTGTCTTTTTCAATCAATAAAAAAATTGAATTTAATTTTACTTCACTGAATATTGAAATGTAAATTCATAATTTATTTTAAAAACGGTTGCTATGGCAGCCAAAAGTTCTGGAAAATCCCTTTCATTGATATTTTTAATATACAAAATCTACTGCCTTATTGCACGATTGTATATCTTCTTTAATTAAATAAATCACATTAACCTTGTCATTTCACCAGCATGAAATTAGAAATTCATAATTAAAAAGTTGCTATGGTTACCAAAAAAATCAGTAATTGTCCAAATAGTTATTGATGTATCAGTATACAAACCTGTAGCACTGCCACCAATGGTTGATTATACTTCTAATTAATTTCTTAACGCAGACAAAAACAGATGAATTCAAACTTAAACTGATCACACCTACTGGTATCTGAAATATTGCAGCAGGATTTGTTTCCATGGAAACAAGTAAACAATAAGTACCTATATAAAATCATGGACGATATTTTGGAAGCAACTTCCTTCATTAATTGAAACATATCTACATGTTTTATGCAGTTCTTATTTTAAGTAGGACAAGCACATAGTCAAGAATCCCCCCCAACATTTCGATTCAACTTGTGTTTGCTGTTGTTGAAATGATCTTTTGCTGTTCCTTTAGTAGGGAATTATTATACCACCACTCCGAAAAAAAGGTTTTGAAATATTTTTTTTGTGTTTTTGTCCATCCATCTGTCTGTCTGTGTGTTTTTTGTACATAACAAATTTTTGGTAGCAGTTTTCTCATTACAGATGCTTGAAATTTTAGCACACTCATTGTAGAATCTATTGTCACAGTGCATGATTTAATTTCTTCTAACAAATAGATAACACTTATTATTTTTTTTATTTCACTTACGTACATTTTTTTGAAATATCATATGTCTAAAATAATGTTGCTGTGGTAACCAAATAGTTTTCGAACACTTCCGTTTAATGGTTGCTATCACAAGTATACAACAAATATTTTAATAACTTCATTCATGATCATTTTTATTTTTCAATACAAAAAAAAAATTGAATGAAAAGTATTTTACAAAATATCAAAATAGAAATTCATAATTTGACAGAAACTGTTGCTATGGCAGACAATAATTCAAGAAAATCCCTTTAATTGATATTTTAAATCCCAGTATACAAAATCTATAGCCCATTTTAAAAAATATATACTAAATTAGCAGTCCTGTTTTCAAATACAAGAATTTTATTTATTTTGCAATTAATTACAGTCATTTTTGGGTATTGTAGCCTTGTATCAAGTTAGACAAATTACACGTAGATAAATCAGGAAGAAAGACATTTCAATAGTCGACAACATGTAATTGAAAATGTAAGATGGTATAAGATTTATCACTAAATAAATTGAAAATGAATTTCATTGCTATGGTGATAAATTTGCTGGTGCAATTGAATATTTCTTTTCATGTACATGTTTAGGCATATGGAGTTTTCATATAATAAAATGAAATTGTTTCTTTGAACTTGAGAGAGAGAGTGATGGACAAATAAGAGGGCTGGTAGATGTACATGACAAGCACTCTATGACATAACAATGTTCAAGATGTTTCATAACAAAGAATCCTGTGCAGCGGCTGTACATGCTACCCATTTAAATTATATATACAGCTTAAAGCGTAAAAAATTGCAAAGTTCACCTCAATAAAGATTATCTTTAAGGCAAATTTTACATTATATTTTCATAAGTAGTACATGTATTACTCAACTTTCTTAATCTGAGCTGAAAATAATTATCCTCTACACATGCAAAATATATATAATTGATGCTACTGACACTGCAATTAACATGGAACACTAAAATGGAAGTTAAAGTATTGCATGGATGCTGTCAAATAAAGATTCATCAATTGCAGACTGAGACTTCTTGCACATCCTTGAAAAAAATCCAGCAATTTGCTGCGCTGACAACAGCTCTTCTAATGCAAACACCCTTTCTCCATCTTTATTTTTCAATTTTCTCATTTCTTCTGAAACTGAGACAGGATCTTCCTTTCTTCCAGACTTCAAACCTGCCTTGAATTTGTCCTCCAGATAAGATTTCTGCTTCTTAGAAAATCGAACACACTTTCTTTCTTCTTTTAGAGCCCATCCTTTTTTCAAAATACTGTCATCAGTGCTTTCTTTACTAATACAGGAAAGTGTGTATTGTTCTCGGTTTTCTTTCTGCAGTATTTTGGCATACTTTTGAACGACTAAGTCGTTGCTCCTTTCCTTTTCTAACTTTAAGTCACAACTGCCAACAATAAGGTGGTGATCAAGTTCCTCAGATGTGCTGAAAGTTGAAACACAGCTTTCATGGCTGCATGTGAACACGTGTTGCTCCTCCTTGCTTAAAGGTTTCAGAATTGAGTGAAAGTGGACTTCAGCACTATCTCCTTCCAATATTTTCAATGATGTTGGCTGGATGTTACTCAAATTTTTTCCAGGAATGGTCATACCTATGTAATATTTCAGAAAATAAAATTCAATACTAAAATGAGAGTATTAGTTTGCTTTCAATAGTACACTTATCCAAATTTTCAATATTTTTCTACCAATGTAAGGCCCATGGACCATAATGCTTACCTTAGTTATTTTTGTTTTCATCAGCGGAGTCTTTTCCCTATGTATTACTAAGTTAAACTTAGAAAATCACTTGAAGTCCTATTTTACCCTACACTACCTGTAGGTGTTTTAGATTTTTAAAGTAGTTCCAGAGAAAAAGATTTTTAAATAACCCAACCAAATATTTTACTTTTTCTCAATTATTCCCCCCTTGGGAGAAAGTGTGCCTTTTCATTTGTTCAAACTTATATTTCCTTTAAACAAGGATACTCTAAGCCAAGTTTCTTCCAGTGGCCTAGTGGTTCTGGAGAAGAAAATGAAATGGAAAATGTCCGACCATGGACAAATTTTAATCAGAAAAGTCTACTTGCGCTTTTGGCTCAGGTGAGCTTAAATAATTATACCGGTAATTAATAAATATTAACAATAAGATTGATAAACCATACCATCTCCAATGCCATACTGTCTCCATACTTGTACTCTCTCACCAAGGAACTTGAAATTGTTTAATGTGGAAATTCCTGGGACTGGTCTGAACTTCTGTCGCTCCGTTGTTTCCACTTCAACTACCTTCACCCTGTACTTCACTTTCCTACTGGTTTTCTCTATTGCCTTAAGTTAAACAAATGAATAACATAATCTTTCTGATAATTAAGAATTGATTGTTTTAACAGAATTAGAAATTCCAAATTTGATAACGTTGTGTGTTCTAAAACTTTTGTCCTAGTTACATTTACAATTATACCTGTTTCATTTGTCGTGCTGTCACCACATCATGACCTTCATTGACAAATCTTCTTATATTAGCTTTGATAACAGCAGCTGATCTGTCGCATGCACCCTTACCATCCTGCGCCTCGCAAAAATCAAATGAGTTGACTGTTTTACAGTGGTGGTAGAGGGTTGATATCGTTTCAGAGCTTTTGTAGCATCCTGCATTATCAGACCACAGATTAATTGTCGAGATATCCGGATACTCTTGACGGAGACCGTGTATCACATCTAATATAACTGCTGTTGTAACACTGGCATCTTGACATATTTGTCCTTCAAATATATGCACATATGTTAAAGCTTTCAAAATTTCCTCATCCTTAATAAACACAACTGCTATGTGCCATGATATCCCCCTTTTCCCAAACCAATCCTGGCTGTCCTCTCTGTACTTGTGAGGCAGATATTTCATAGCCCAGTCTAAGATAATGCAAGCATTAGAAATCGATAGGCTTCTCAACACTTCCTGTTTTGCCTCTTCTTGATTTTTGGACCTTAAAAGATGAGCTTTCCAGCCTAAAATTCCTGTTTCAGCAAACTTCAATCGAAATATGATGTCATCTTTGTCCTCCCTTGCAGAGAAATCAAAATTATCAACAAGCTGTTTGACATCACCTACAACTTCTTTGAGCTGTTCGCAGGCCTCACAAAAGTTAGTATGGTCATGATTGCATTCCAGAGAAAACAGTTTAGAACAGTCGCTTAAAGCATACCTTCTGCAATGATCAGCAACATCTGATGTTTCTGCCACATGAATCTGAAAAATGCAAAAAATCATTATTAATGAGTGTGGAGATATGATTAATGTTGCATATTTTAACTTTTCTTACAGTATTGCATTCTAATTGAACTGAATTATAAGATAAGATCTTTAAAATGAAAAATGTTGATTATGAGAACTAAAATTTATAAAATTAAATAGTACTGTCCAAACAGGACAAAATACCCTCCACTGGGCTTTTCAGAAGTAAGTTTTTCCATAAGAAAGCTATTGACCAGACAGGAATCATGAAATTTTTCTTCCATTGACCTTGAAGTTCCCCAAATGACCTTGGGTCAAGGTCATGACACACCCTTTGGTCATTGGCAATCTTTGTGTTAAATGAGAACCTACAAAGTTAATCCATAAAAAAAATATTGACCGGACACGAATCATGAACATTTTCTTCCAGTGACCTTGAAGTTCCCCAAATAACCTTGGGTCATGGTCACTACACACCCTAAGGTCATGGGCAATCTTTGTGAGGCGTATTAGATTTTTATGTCCCTCTGTAAGAAAGATATGGGCTGGACATGATTGCACAGACAGACGGTCAGACAGACAGTCCGAAAGCTAGACAGACGGACAAGGTGAATCCTTATTACCCCCCTAAACTTTATTTGCGGGGGGTATAACTAAACATTGGATCAGATGTTTTACAGCACCTTGTAATCAGTTTTTAAGTATCTATGGACAACCGCAGAAAATACCCGTTATACGGTATACTCTGATAAAAAAAATATTTTAAAACTATCAATATAAATGATAAGACACTGACAGTGAGTTTTTCAATCCTAATACCACGGTCCGACTTTGACAGAATCACAACTAATCTGGTACCGCAGCTGAATGTAAACAAACAGGCCAGTCTGGTTCCCTCTCCTGCTTTACATCGTATGTGTAGAGAACTACGGTAACACTGATTATCAAAAATCCTTACTCTAATGAACTATGTTATTTGACTAATATGAAGTTTTCAAAGTCATTACTACTAATATTTATTTTATATAGATAAAACTTCGTTTAATTTTGGTTGCTTTATTTAGCGTTTGTATTATCTCAAAAGCGGTTGAGAGTAAGAACTATATTTTTGCACGTAGCTTTAAAATGGCGACTATGGGGTCAACATCCTGCCTTGAACAGGATCACATAAGCCGGTGTAAAGCCGAATAATGAACCCCATCGAATAATGACCGTGGGGTCATTTTTCAACGACAAAAAATGACCCCCACCCGTAGAAAAAAATCATTTTTTGTAGAAAAGGGTCCTAGGGGGTCATTATTTTATATGTTAGTCCTATAAAAAATTGACCCCCATAGAAAAAATGACCCCCCCCCCCTTTAAAGTGATACAAAATTTATAACAGGTGAATGGGAAAAATATGCTGTATATTATAAATGTTCTTTCTTCGAGTAATTCATGCATTTGTTCGAATAGATCTTTGTTCTTCTTAGCACGTAGGGGTAATAAAGTTCCTCATTTCTCTTTGCCGAAATATTGACAAATCTGTTTTAAGCAATCAATTAATCATTTCTCTGATAAAGGAGGAAACCTAGAAAATCAAAGATGGTACATGTAAATGGATCAAACGCACGCTGGATATGAAATTTATGAATATATTTTTTTTTCTTTACTGACTCCATTGATACGTTGTTTAAGAAAAAAATATTTGTTGGGAAAAAATAGAAATTTGTAGCAGGCGAATTAATATCGGTGCGTACAAATAAGTTATTTGTTCGAATTAATAAGGTTTCATTCTGACGAGTGAGTAAAATAGAAATTGGTGACAGGACGCCTCGATGCTGTATATTTTTGTTATATGTTCGATCCTATGCATGCAGAGTATCACTATATGATTAAAGATATTTCAAATCTTTGCAAATACATATTCTTTTTATACCCCCACCCCCCTCGGAATAACAACCAGACTTGCAATGAACATTTTCAAGTGAGAAATTTTATAAAAAATTTACATTCATGAATTTGGAAAGGGGATAACACCCGGCCCCACCTCTGATTCTATGTTTCTGAATGTTATGTGCATCTTTTCCACTCAAGTAGCTATAGGAGAGACGTTTTTACTATACTGTTTTGAAAAAAAAGATTGGGTGATTAAATGAGTTTCATTTTCAAACTAGAAATTGTTAAAAAATACATTCTGAAAAAATGAATAGGGGGTAATCTCTCCTCCTTCTCCTATTCGTTGTGCCTATACCTTTCTATAATACTGAAAGAGGCTCTAGATATATTATTGAAATGAAGTTAAGCCTACACACAAGTACTATCATATCATGATTTACTTCACCATGATTAAAGCATACTTTAAATGTTGGTGGGGGTATACTTGAAAGTATTGTGGCAAAGTAACAGTTGAAAATTAGTAGAATAGTAGATTATTTTAAGCATATTTTTAGTCCCTCCTTACAGAAAAATAAAGGTAGGGTTATTTACCGTAGTTTTTTTTTTTTTGGTTGCTTTTGTTGATAATCGACTTCCTCCTAAATAAGTTGGGGGTTGGGTGGGTATAACTCCTAAAAATATGCTCTGAAAAGCTATGGGCTAGTGAAAATACACATTCTAATGCAAAAACTATACATGTAGACATAACCTTTTGATTTAGCACACAGTATTCATTACATTTCTTAATTCTTGTTTTACTCCACCATTTTACTCAGTTCTGAGTACATTTTTCAGAGAATTTAATATGAAAATCGGAACAAACATTTTCATTTTTGTAACGTCTTCTTTAAACTGTATCATAATATGAAAAGTTGATTGAAGACCATTTCTTTTTATGTCCCCTTAATCAAAGATTCGGAGGTATATAATTTTATCGTGTCCGTCTGTATGTCTGTCTATCTGGCAGTCTGTTTGTCCGCAAAAGCTTTAACCATGCCCATAACTTTTCATTTACTGGAGCTATGTCTTTCATATATATATTTTATATGTATATTCCTTGTGGCAAGACCTTACATTGGGTACCACCAAATTTGACCTTTACCTTGGAATTTGTCCCATTTTACACAAAAATGTCAAATTTTTACTTTGTCCATAACTTTTAAACGGTAGACACTAGCACTCTCATACTTCACATATGTATTTTTTAAGCATGACCTTTCATTGAATACTACAAACTTTGACCTTTTGTCCTTGGAGATTTCCGCACTTAGGAAAAAAAACTTTAACCTTGGCCATAACTTTTGAACGGTAAGGGCAAGGGTTTTCATACTTCACATATTTCTTAAAGAACCATCAATTTTGACCCTTTGACCTTTTAGTTTGACCTACCTTTCAAAAAATTATCCTTAGCCATTTTTTGAACAAATGGTGCTAGGGCTTTCCTATTTTGTAATTGTATTTCTTGTGAGAAGACCCTACTTTGGGTACCTATATATTTAAATTGCATCTAAGAAAAGTTTAATCTTCGCTATGTTGCCATACAGGGGCATAGCTGTTTCACAAACACGTCTTTTTATATATAAGAGGAGCTGAGAATAAGAGATGGATACCCCAAAGCGTAACAGACGGACGGACGGACATACTGATCACTATGTACCCTCCCGCTTTTTAAGCGGAGGATATAATAATTTGTAATACTGCTGATTTTTTCTGTCAGTACGATGATTTCCACCATCGAAAAACAATGTTTACCTAACCCTGTAGGCTCGATAAATCTTTTCCTCCTTTAGATTCTGAATCGTCGCATTGACCTTAAAATATAGCTATAATTGTATAATGTTACGAGGTCAAGATATCATCAATTTATTCCCAACTAGCTCAGGTGAGCATTTTGGCCAATATGCTTCATTATCTAATTTTTTTTTTTGCCCCCTAAAAATTTCCGCTTTAATCCACAGGGAGTCATTTTTCTACGGGGGTCATATTTCTTCATGTGGGTTCTGCAAATTTTTAGGGTGGTGACACTTTTTCTACGGGCAAAAGGGTCATTTTTCGACGTCGAATAATGACCGGGGGTCATTTTTCGCTGTCGAAAAATGACCCCCGGTCATTAGTCGATGGGGGTCATTATTCGTCTTTACACCGGCAATTGTTCTCTGAGCAATAAGCCCGGCTAAAAAGAGCGTCAAAACTTCTTCTCCCTTCTGCAAGATAATAGTCTAAGCCTTCAAGAGATTTGCGAATGGTTGCTGTGCAGTTTTGCAGGATTCTAAACATTGTACTTGTTCCTAGAATATAAAATGAAGAATTAAATGATAATACCGGTATTTATAAAAAACAAAATGTGTTTGTAAAACACTGATGCCCTCATATGGCAGCTTATGACTCGGGTTCAGTTCCTAAAATGCAAGTCATTCAAAGATCAAGATCAAAAATTTGCTTTATCTTAAATCTACGTTCTTAGTACATTTTACTTGATTACTTCTGTAAAATACTGACCAAGTGGTTCTATTTCTTGGTACTGTGTGATAATCGCTTGTGGTGCCATGCACTTTATGATGTTAGGAGTCTCTATTGTCTATCCCCTTGAAGTTTGGATTCTCTTGCAGCACTGTTTAGGCCTACTATGAGAAATCAACGGAAAATAGACGCGCAAAAAGGGGGATTTTTTAAAAACTGAATTAAGTTTTAATTAAGCTGTTTTATTATCATAGAACTTAAATACTTATGGAAATATCATAGTATAACCCACTCTATACTGTATGAAGTTTTGTCCCATCGATGGACAGTCATGTGATTAATGCTTAGTTCGTGTAATGAATGTAGGTCATGAACAAATTTCAATATCGCAAGGGCATACCCTAGTTGAAATTAAAAATTTAAGCTATTTATTGATTCTGCATACTTTGTAGTTTTTTGAAAAGTGCTGCTGCTTTGAATAGAATTTGCATTTTAACAGTTAAATTTTCAAGTAAATAGGCCAATGTCAAAATACATTTGACTTTTACCAAATATTTTGTGTACTTATAAATTCACGCCCTAGATTTAAAGAAAGCAGCAGCACTTTTCAAGTTAAGAAACATGTCTTCTACCTATATTCAAAAAAATGTTTCAGATCTATGCAATGTATGCCCTTGTGAAAGTCCGATTTTATGAGGCATCTCCATGTAAAATATACGTAATCTGTACATAAAAACACGACAAAATTAATTAAATACATTCTCTCTGTAGTTAATTAATAATCGCACTAGACAAAGGATATACATTGGTATCATTCGACTATTTAAATCCTGTAATATTCCGTTTAGTAATAAAACGCATTTTTCATTGTCAAAATATTCCTCAATATGCCACTCACGGCACATGAAATACGTCATTTTTACCAGAATGACGTCATGATTGACAAGTTCATCGAGATAAGAGATTTGTTTATAACCAGATTTTTGGGATTTAACTAGCAACTTTTTTGATGCATTGATAAGTTCTATTGTTATTTATTATGCTAATGCAGTTTAAAAGTTGCAAATTATTTCATTTTCAGGTATTATGAGAAATACATAAAAGTCATATTTTTGTGTGACGTCACAGTAAACTTTTCCTTTATAAATTAGGCCTCGACCCTTTTTCAAGCCTTAACAATGCTGCGAGCTTCTGTCCAAAAGGAAGATCTTCCACAATGTGAGAAAATGTAATGAATTCGGGAAAGTTATCTAACTTAGATTGGACCATACGCTGACGAATATCTTCTTTCTCTGGAGGTGGCAGGCAACATCCCTCTAAGCTGGCATGTTTCTTGGCAGCATAATATCTGGAGAAAATTGTGAAAATATTGTTCATTCAATATAAATAAGAGACAGGTGAGCCACAATGCTCACCTAAGTTACTAAGGCCCTTATATTCTTCGCCACATTTTTCCCCTTTAATATTTATTGTGGTCCTAGCAAACCCCAAGAGTCATGATTTAAACAAATAAGAAAGAAACAACTTAGAATTCAAGACATTCAAGCTACACCAGGAAGCTTCTACACTACAGAGTATATTAGTTTTAGCTTTACTGTGTAAAAGTGAACAAATTGATTTCACCATAAGTGATACCTTCATTCATTCCTTTGAAGTTTTGTTTTGTTTTTGCTCTGTAGGTATGCCAGAGTGTATGAGGAAAACTAAATGGCTCTAAATCAACATCTGAAAGAAATCTGTTGAATCAGTCCAAGTTATCAATCTCTACGTAGGAGCCTTGGGAACTCATCTCAATTTCCTCTATTGAAGTACCCTAAACATAACAATTTTAAATACAATATACATGTTATTTATAATATTTTCAATTAATTTAAGAACTAGAGGATTTGATTTTAAAAACGTGACCCATTGGCTGCATTGTTCACTTGAGCACTTTGGTGTGAGAAAAATTGAAATTAGTTCTTTAACAGTTTGAATGAATAAAAATAGTCCCCGTCCCTACCCCACATCTATTCACCCAAGAATGGCGGGAAAGGAGTCATGAATTAAAACTCAAAACTCTACACTAACTGATGAGGCTTCCATACAAGAGGCCCATGGGCTAAATTGCTAACCTGAGCACAGTAGCTTAGAAAAAAAAAGGAAAACAGTTTATTATTGAAAAGTTTAAACCCAAAGTGATCCCACCCAACCTTAAAGGGGAGAGGGTATAATTTGAACAAATATGATTCTACACTAAGGATGCTTGCATATTTCTTTGACTACCTGTGGCTTCATTGCCCTTTAAGTATCAGTCACATTATCCAGCGATGGGGTATACGATGAGAAACCGATGCGTTTTTTGATGAAAATGGCGTGGTTGCCGACCGGGCACAACTAGTGATCGGACGGTGACTGAGGCCATTTTGCGAATCGGTGGGGTCATCGGTAGGAAATAATTCGTAGTTAAAATTCAGCGATGTCTCCAACGATGCCTCACATCGCTCCTCATCGGCAACCCATCGCTAACACATCTTTCAAGGATCGGCCGATGTATGGCCGAGCATCGTCAAGTGTCCGTTGAATCTGAGGTCATCGGGGGGGGGGGGGGGTTAGGTAGTGTTCAACAGATAAGGGCCGATCATCGGTCGATGTTCGACCAAACATTGGCCCGATGTACGAATGATGTTCACCAATGTATGAGCGATGTAATATACATCGGCCGATTATCCTGGCACATCGTATTATGATTAGCAGTGCATCGCTGGGCCTTTGTATGTCCGGCCGGCAACCACGTCATTTTTATCATAAAACGCATTGGTTGCCCACTGTATACCCATCGCTGGATAATTTGACTGATACTTTAAGGACTACTTGGCCGATGTGGACCGATGTTGAGGCATCGTTAACACCACGGATTACCACCGATTACCACCGATCTACGGCTATCGGCCGGGAAATGTGACCTAGGCATTACATTTGAACTTACATTGTGGCCCTGCCCTGCCCCCAGAAGTCTTGACTTGAACAAACTTGAACATTACCTGAGAATGCTTCCATATGAATTTGACTAATCATGGCTTTACTATCCTTGACAAGAAAATTTGTTAAGATTCTTTCTACATATTTCTATGTAAAACTTGGATTCCATGTTGTGGCCCCGCCCCTACCCCCAGGAGGTCATGATGTGAACAAACTTGAATCTACACTACATGAGGATGCTTCCATATAAATATGACTAATCATGACTTTCCTCTTTTCGAAAAGAAGATTTTTAAGGAATTTTTTTTTATATATTTCTATGTAAAAGTACTAAAACGTTGATCTGCCATTGTGGCCATACCCTACCTCTGGGATCATGATTTGAACAAATCTGAATCTATACTACCTGAGAATGCTTCCATAAACGTTTGAAAATGATCATTCATGCCATTGCTATTCTTGATAAGAATTTTAAAGAATTTCCCTGTATATTTCTATGTACAATTTGGTCAGCTATTGCGCACCCCCCCCCCACCTCGGGGTCATGCTTTGACCAAAAATGAATCTACACTACCTGAGGATGTTTCCCTATAAGTTTCATCTTTCCTGGCTCAGTGGTTCTTGAGAAGAAGATTTTTAAAACATACCACGAAATTTCCATTATTTCTGAATTATCTCCCCTTGAATGAGGGCATGGCTCTTTATTTGTACAAACTTTGTATGACTATGAAAACTATAAAAAAAAATTTCAATCTCGTTTCTGTGTACCTTAAAAACTTTTACTCTATACTTGGAAATATTCGCCTCCGTTTTATTTTCGCCCCTTTCGCCCTTACATCATTTGGGTAAATTTAAAAAGGGGCGAATTCAAAATATACAATATATTAACTTAAACAAAATGGTGACTGGGCGAATTTAAAACGGGGCAAAATGGGTTGCAAGTGTTAAAGGGCGAAAATAAAACGGGGCGAAAATAACCAAGTATACAGTATTTCCTATTGTGGCCCAACCCTACCCAATAGGTCATGATTTAAACAAATTTGAATTTACACTAAGTAGTAAAGCCTTCATATATAAGTTTTATATTTCCTGGCCCAATGGGTATTAAGAGGATATCTTAAAAGAAGCCATTATATTTCAGGGTTCTCCATCATTTGAAATGTTACTGTGTTGCAGAGTTTACGCAAAACACTAAAATTTCGCGATATTTTCGCGGTTAAATTCGCAACTGAATCACTATTCATTATAATTACAAAAGAATACATACAGTGCAGGGAAATAATTTTGTTAAAGCACCAATGCTGATTTTGGTGCTTCCTATGCTTGTTGATTTTGATGCTTCCTTTGCTTGCTGATTTTGATGCTGTTATCCTTATCCTGATCCTGGTTTGATCCTTATCCTGATGCTGGTTTGAAACTAGGTCAATGCTAGTAATGCTACCGGACGTAGGATTATCCTGCCGGAAGTGGATAATTCAAAAACAGCATCGCTATTTTAAGCCATTAAAAATAATTTTTGTGGTAATTTTTATTTGTAATTTGTATTAAATGACTTTCCTTTATCTGTTTTCACTTTGGTCAATGCTAGTTCTATCCTTTGCTTGCTGATGCTGATCCAAGTAATGCTGTTTTTTAAAATGCTGATGCTGATGCTAGTTCTATCCTGATCCTACTTATGCTGATCCTGATGCTGGTTTATGTAACAAAATTAGTTCCCTGCACTGTATACATGCTTTTTTAAAAATCGATAATCCATTACACAAATGGTATGGCCGTGCATATTTATAAAAGTAAAAACACGTGTTCTGAAAAGCAGAGGAAATTCTGGTCGACACTGTCGAACTACTTAACATTTTTGAAAGTAAATTTGTCGTGATTACCTGTCCGTTGTCTTGAACGAATTACCGAACTTCAGAATGGTAAAATACTTTTAAGAGATCCTTGAACATGTTGAAAATTCTAAGCTATTTATTTACATTAAATAAATGAAATGACTTCGGTACGATGTTATGTTTGACTGTCAGAGCTACATGTAACATAATTCTAGAGCCGCGGCTCTATACAAAAGACATATTTAAATATTTTTTTCAAAAATAATACAATGTATTTTTAGCAACTACCAATTCACCGTTATGGAAGTGTGAAAACAAATTATTTGTCTGTGTTCCCTGATGCGTTAAGTCCGGCGAGGGTCTAGGAGATAATTAATCAGGAAGGTGAAGCCCTTGTAACTAAGTGTTCCACCGTTTAGAATTGAAAGACGGCCGAATTGTTTGATTAAAGATTTAGTTAGAGAGGCTTAACAAGTTTAAATTTTCTTATCATCACAGATTTTACTGTGTCGGCAAAATTTTTACTGTGTCGCACGCATAAAATTTGAATCGTAACTGTGTCGGAGAAAATTTTACTGTGTCGGAAGCAACACAGTAAAACAGCTCATGGAGAACCCTGATATTTTATATTTTCACTCATTTTTAATTATCTCATTATCTCCCCTTTAAGAATGTTTTTCATCAAAGGATGCTTTTAGGTCAAGTGAACTAAAATCATCAAAAGGCACACTTAATGTCAAAATAGCACTTCATAAAAACTAATTGTATCTCTAACTGCATGAAAAGTACATTTATTTTTTACAAACCTGGGAACTACTAATTGTTGTCTGACTTGGGTGGACATCCCCTGTCTTTGAGTGATCCTGTTGACCTGCATCATGCATTTTCATACAGATATGTAAAAATATTTATTGCAAAACAAACAAAAATGGTACACTTAATATGTTTTAGATGTGCAGAATTATTCCTTATATTAATATATTTGTAATTATTTATGAATTTTTCTTCCCTAAGCTTCTAAATTTTGTTACATTTAAAGTATCTGTTCAGTAATTTTTATATTTTTCTTGCTAACTTTTAAGACATATATAACACCAATTCTGCCGTGCACCCCACCCCCTTTCCTCCCCTCATCAACAAAAGGAGGGAGAAGAGAGAGTTTATTGCAAAATAAAATAAAGTGTATGGCAGGAAATTTCATGTTTTAAAAGCAACAAAATTGCTCCTTCACTTATACATTACGCATTATTTACATATTATCAAATTGTGCAGTGAATTTATTCTTAAGATTTTTATCCTTATACTTACCTGTACATTGTGCCCCAAAACAGACGCTATATCAGCTTCATATTCTTCTCTCACTTCCCTTACTCTCATTAGACATCTTGTACATATTGCTGCATTGAAAATACACTGATAAAAATATTTAAGAAAATAATTTAATTATTTTACATTTTTTAAAGGGCTGCTCTCTGAAATGACTTTCTAATGTGGAATATAACTAGATTTTTTTTCATTAGGGGGGATGTCATTTACTGTTTGTGGGCAAGCAAAG